CTGCCCCGGGATCTGCCCCGGGATCGGGTCGGGGACCTGCCCCGGGATCTGCCCCGGGATCGGGTCGGGGATCTGCCCTGGGATCTGCCCTGGGACCTGCCCTGGGATCGGGTCGGGGACCTGCCCTGGGATCTGCCCCGGGATCTGCCCCGGGATCTGCCCCGGGATCTGCCCCGGGATCTGCTCCGGGATCTGCCCCGGGACCTGCCCCGGGACCTGCCCCGGGATCTGCCCCGGGATCGGGTCGGGGATCTGCCCCGGGATCTGCTCCGGGATCTGCCCCGGGATCGGGTCGGGGATCTGCCCTGGGATCTGCCCCGGGTCCTGCCCCGGGATCTGGCCCGGGACCTGCCCCGGGACCTGCCCCGGGATCTGCCCCGGGATCGGGTCGGGGATCTGCCCTGGGATCTGCCCTGGGATCCGCCCTGGGATCTGCCCCGGGATCTGCCCCGGGATCTGCTCCGGGATCTGCCCCGGGACCTGCCCCGGGACCTGCCCCGGGATCTGCCCCGGGATCGGGTCAGGGATCTGCCCCGGGACCTGCCCCGGGATCGGGTCAGGGATCTGCCCCGGGACCTGCCCCAGGTCCTGCCCCGGGATCTGCCCCGGGACCTGCCCCGGGACACGGGCACACGGGCACACCAGCAGCCAGCCACTCACCCCACACGGACACTCGGAAGCACCGGGAGGAAATCCGTGAGGAACTCTGGAACTCGACCCTATAGACCCCGTTGTCTGCCCTGTGAGCGGGGGAGATGCACAGGGAGAAGTTTCCCGGCTGGAATTTCGCTCTCCCATGGAAAGGACCTCTGGGAGAGGAGACAGCTCCATCCCTGCTGGCCGTCAGGATCTGCTGCCACGCTGTTGGATAAATTTCCATCTTCCACTGGATGATTATCCAGTTCCGCAGGGTTTTATCCGGCACCAGGCACAGCGATCCTCCCTCGCCCACCGTCAGGTTTTGGCATTTTGGGGATCCTAAAGCAGAGCCGCGGGAGTCGCGACTTCGGGGCGAAGGCGCAGCCCAAGCGCTGCCCAGGAAGGGGAACCGGCCCCGCGGCTCGGCCCGGCTGTCCCTGGGCACGGCGGGCCGAGAGAAGCGAGGAGAACGGCCCCGAAGCCGCCGGCAGCCCCTCCGCGCCCCCCGAGCCCCTCCGCGCCCCGGCGCTGCCGCAGCGCCGCATCCTCGCTGCCCGGGCCGGCGCCCCCCGCCCCGCGCCCCCTCCTCACCTCGGCTCCCCGCCAGCCCCAGCAGCAGCGCCAGCAGCGCCGGGGGGCAGCGGCGACCCCCGGGCGGGGACATCGCGGAGCGGGAGGCGCGGGGACCCCTCGGGGCTGCTCCTCCTCCTCCTCCTCCTCCTCCTCCTCCTCCTCCTCCTCCTCCTCCTCCTCCTCCTCCTCCTCCTCCTCCTCCTCCTCCTCCTCC